CACACACACACACACACACACACACACACACACACACACACACACACACCAGATTGCACATGCAAGATACAAAACACACCCAAACCAACACTAAGTGCAGCTAGGCATGCATATATGGACACAAAACTTTGTATTCTCTTTAGATTGGATTTAGTGGACAAGGTAGATGGTCACATATGCTATTCATTAAAAAAACACATAAGGAAGTACATTAAAAAAGGGTGGCTGGTGCTATATATGCTTGATCTCTGTGTGATTTTTTTTCTTTTACCTGCATAAAATTCAGGACCATATACGGCTCCAACCATTGGATTCAGCTTCCAGCCTGCACAGGAGACACACATGCAAGCAAAACCGCACACACAGGATAAACGTTAGCATTGCTGCATGAAGCTGCACCTCTCTGCGGCTATATAACAAACCTTTTCCTTTGAATCACTTTGCTCTTATCTTTTGTAAGTGCAAATGCATCATTAATTAGAAACAGAATCACAACCCTTTAATTGTCATTAAACATCGGATGTTCAACAAAATTAGAAGCAACTCTCTGGTCGCAGCATTTAGAATAAAAAACAATAAAAAACAAATAATTGCTAACAATAAAAACAAATCTAAACAAACCAACTATGCAGATGTGCAACGTTTATACAAATGTGTTGCTCTGAAATATTGCACTCGTCTTGTGTGGTGGTGATGCGAATGTTTATGTGTGTGTCCTAGCCTTTTGTTTACCAAAGACAAATAAGAATGTCTGGCGGAGCAGTCCTGGGATGGTGATGAGGTCAAACATGTGAACAGCAGTACTGCATAGAAGGAACCTGGCAGTAGCACAGGGGGTAGAGCAGGTTGCCTGTTAGGTGGAAAGTTGGTGGTTCAATCCCTGGTACTAACCTCACGGTGTTCTTTGTATCCACTGGAGTGTGACTTTTAGCTAGAATGCACCTCCATAGAAATAAAAAGTGCTTCGGTGAATGAGGCAAGTTGTATAAAGTGCTTTGAGTGCTAATGCAGACTAGAAAAGCACTATTTAAGAAGCAGTCTATTTACCATTTTTTGCTCTGTTGATATGAACTATTCAGTCTTTTTCCAATCACAGTGAAAGCTTCGTTCGGATTGCAAGCAATAAGTTAAATCCTTTCTGCGAACACTCTGCCAGGACTGAGGTTCTGTTGCCTTCTCCAGGTGGAGGCCTCTCTGCTCTCACACCTGAGTGCTTCATAGCTGAGTGTCTGAGCGGAGGCATCACTCCAGGCCAGAGAGGAGCCAATACCCCAAGTGGAGTTTAAGTATTTTGCATTTCTTTCATGAGGGAAGGGAAAGGGGAGCGGGAGAATGACAGACTGATTGTGCCACACCTGAAGCCACTGCATTGGTCTGTAGTGGAGAAGAGAAAGCTGAGCATGAAAGTGAAGCTGCTGATTTACTGGTCAAGCTACATTCCAACTGCCAACAATGACTACAAGCTGTTCAGCTGCGTGGCAGGCACTGTAGGACCCAATTGCAGGACTCCGAGACAACAGACTAACTTAGAGAGACAGCTTTATTGTTATTTAGAAACTCTAAAAGAAATACAAAATACAATACTCAGAAAAGGAAGAAACTCGGAACTCGGAACTAGAAAAAGGTGGAAACTCTGAGGGAAAACTTGGAGGACACAGGGATACAAGAGGGAGAGCAAAGGAAGACTCAGACAACATGCTGTATACACAGCAGGTAAATGGATAATACAACTGAGAGGCACCATTAATAAAGACCATGAACCGAAGACTGTGGAGCTCAAACATAAAACGAACCAATAGAACAGGAGCACTACAAAAACAACCAAAAATGAGAAAAACCCTAAAACATCCCAAAAACTCAAAAATCTGAGTCAGTGATCCACAGACCATGACAGCTTTGGAAAGTGGCCGAAAAAATTAGATTTCAGATTAAAGTGGAGAAAATTAATTTTCTCTGAAGAGTGGCTGAGCTCTTTCTTAGCAAGAGTGTGATGAGTCAGTCATTTTGGAGGGACTTAAACAGTACAGCTGTTTGGGGATCTGACCAGACAATTTTTCTCTTCTTTATTTTTCTTTATCACAAATGTCATCTTTCTTTCATGTTCTGAATGAAAAAAGAAAAAGTAATTATTGCACACAAAGTTAATTTGCTAAAAAAAAAGACATTGAGGGTGACTGACTGTAGCGCAGGAAGTAGATGGGGTTGCTGGTTCAAACCCTGGCTGCCCCCAGCCTGCATGCCAAATATCCTTGAATAAGATAGTAACCCCTCTGATGCAACTGAGCGAACTGTAGACTTTACAAACAGTGGATGGTCCTCTAGAGCAAAGGTGTCAAACTCCAATCTTCGATCAATATTAGTAGGTCATGCATGCTGCAGTAGCAACCCCTAACCCTACTCAAGTAAATTTAAATACATTTAAGTAAATGTTAAGTGTTTGGAAAATGTACTTCTAAAAGTACTTTTATTGCACCATGTTCATTCAGTCATGAGCTGCTGTAACATGGATCAAATGGCTGAACTGTCACCTCAGCATGCAGAGTCTATACAGTCTTGTAAATGACCTACTAATTTAATTAGATGTGCTGCTGCAGGGACACATGGAGAAGTTTCAGGACCCCGGCCCTCGAGCACTGGAGTTTGACGCCTGTGATCTAGACAAACACTGTGCAAACCCCACCTCCCCCACCGCCGCCCCAGCATACATACTGGAGGTGTTCTGCGACACACGGTGATCCAAAGCCACACATATTGATGGTAAATGTGAAGTGGGCTTGATAGTAAAAAACTTTGAGGTGACAGACTGAAGAGACTACCAATAAAGATGTGTGATGTCAGGGCTCACTATGGCTCTGCACAAATAGGACAGAGGTGTGGTGTATCTGTAGAGGTACTAACACGTCTGACCACTCCCCCCCCATTATCTGCTTTCTTTTCAGTGCTTTCTCCTTCCATCATCACAAAAGTGTGTGTAAGGGATGGAGGAGAGAAGCATGTACTCTAAAGGCCCTTCTCTCCCTGTTTATGAATGAGTCCTGGCTCTTTTTATTGGCTCTATTCCTTTATCCATTCACTGTGTCATCTATCACAGCATCATGCTGTGTACCACATTCTCCATCTACTTGAAATCGCTCCTCTCAGCTCTGATGGCCCTTTCTCTTTGCTGCTCTTTTCTTTTACCTTTTTACCGTCCATACGTGCTTTAGATTTCAGTTTGCTATTTGTGTTTGGTTTAATGCAAAATGTAATGCCTCTTGACAAATATTGGTTTCATTAATCAAATGTTAATTGGTTTGGCATTAAGGCACAATCTGGTGCATATTTGTATCTTTTAACCTTCATTCCACTCAAGCTTAGTCTATGAAAGGCTAATTGTTTACTTCTCCTCTTAAACAGCTCAAAAAGGTTCTTGTTAAAAACAGCGAAGAAAATGCAGAGAACTCATGATCAGGAGAAGAAGACATGAGAGTGGTAAAAACATGAATGGAAACTTTACCGTTTGTGTAAGGGTTAGCCATCTTTTTGTTCGTCATTACTCTGGCGGTGGCATTGTTCACCTGTCAGCAGACAAAAAAAAGGTGTATAATAAGACAGTGTAAGATATACAAAATTAAACATACACAAAAAAGCAAAAACTGAGCTTGCAATTAATAACTGCTAATAAAACCACTCTCCATGCAATGTTGGTATTTTGTCAATTCAACAAGTGAGGGTACATGCACTCAGTCTAATTGAAAGAATCAATCATAACATTCAACATCAGATAAAGAAAAAGAAAAAATACAACAGGGAGAAAAATTTATAAAACAAATTGTTGTTTCAATGTCATATCTTAAAATATTTTGGGGTTATTTATGTTTCAAAATGCAGTTTCCATAATAATGTTAGTGTTCCTGTTTCTCTGATATGCATGCTGCTAATTCCACTGCTTTGTAATACTAAACAACATCTGACTTATATTCCTTCAGAAGGATATAACTCGCGTTAATGAAGAGCGCACTTATGAATACGGAAATTAGTCCCCTGTTCTATCCCCACTAACCTGTCAACTGATCACATGCATCTGACTGTCTCAACAGTATTAGGCTGCTCCACACAACAAAACCTGTAATGCTGGACAAGTTCAGCCCTGAAAAATGATTCTGAAGAGGAAAACAGATGTTTATGACGCAGGGCTGGCATTATACACATTACACTAATCTGTGGTTGTTAGCTGTTTCATTATGTATCTTCTAGTTCAGAAAAAACTGTAATGACGGGTAACAAGATTAAAGCCTGAATATCACCTGTGATTTATTTTTACCTGGTCCCATTTCTATCTAAGAGCATAACAAGTTGAACTCACCCTCGTACACCTTTCATGCAACTGCCCGAATATCAGTTACAAGTATTTGCAACAAACTGGATGTAAATTGACAGATATTCCAAGTCAGTATTTTCAAAGTAGAAGAACTTCGCGTTTAGACATTAGTCTTAAATATTTTAAAACTGAAAATTATGAAGCGTGAAAAGACTGCGAAACTTAAACTTGAGGTGCCAAGGATAAGGAACTACCGGAGAATAGTTTTAACAAGGAGCAAAGGACTAGCAGTGGGAAAATACTGTAAAATACATATTTCTAACTTAAATAAAACACAAACACATAACACAACGAAAAAAAGAAAACAAATCTCATGCACATGTCACAGGCACAAGTATACGTGAGAGGAGGCAAAATGTATCAAAAACACTACCACAGTGCTGAATCGGTGTCTTTCTCACACACGCACACTTACGGATCAGGTTCAGCATGCAGCGTTCAAGGTGCAGCAGGCAGGGAGAGAGGTGGAGGAAATGATGAAAGAAAAGAAGAAAGGGGTGGAGTAAGTGAGGAAAGTGGGGAGTATGTCAGGAAATATTAGGCAAGCGAAAAAGGGAAAGAGATTCAAGGGGAGGAGAAGGGGAACAGCAGAAGAGGGGGAAAGGAGTAAAGGGAGACAGGAAGCACCTCTATTTTTCGTCCCTCTACGATTGTACCATTTAGTTTCTCCCGTGCATGGTCAGCATCTGCACTGGTTTCAAATGTTACAAACCCAAAACCCTGCAGTGGCCAGGAGGTGGGGTTGAAAAATCAAGCAACAAAAGAAGGACGTCCAGAAGTAAGATGATGAAACAAACAGGAGAAGATAGAGAGAAGAAAAAGACATAAAGGACAGATGAGAGAGCTTCAGGTCTGAATCACGCAGAAAAGCCAGAGAGACGTCACGCTGATCACACAAATATGGGAAACAGCTGGAGTCACACTGAAGAAAGGTGGAAACACAGGACTTAGATGTTCATGTCATTATATATACGTGTGTTGTTGTGTGTGTGTGTTTGTGTGTACATGCGTACGTGCGCATAGTTCTGTTCACTTCATTTCAGTTTTATTTATATAGTGTTAAATCACCACAACCATTGCCTTGAGGTGTCCACAAATAGAGATAAAACAGAGAAAACCCCAACAATCATACGACCCCCCATGAGCAAGAGCTTTGGCGGCAGTGAGAAGGAAAAACTCCCTTTGCACAGGAAGAAACCTCCAGCAGAACCAGAGTCAGGGCAGGGCGGCCATCTGGCACGACTGCTTGGTTGTGAGGGGAGAAAGACAGAACCAAAACATGGTGTGGAAAAGAGCCAGAGATTAATAATAACTAATGATTACATTCAGAGTGATGTGTAAGCACATAGTGAGTAAAATGATGAATTAAAAAGAAACAGTGCATCATAGGATGCCCCTAACAGCATAGGCCTAATGCAGTGTAACTAAAGGAGAGCTCAAGCTCACCTAATCAAGGCCTAACCTAAAGTTTTATCAAAAATGAAAGGTTTAAACCCAATCGTAAAAGTGGAGAAGATGTCCAAAGTGCGAGCTGCTATCACAGAACAGGGGTCTCAGTGTCATACTTAGTCTTGTGGCAGGCAGGATGTAGGACCCAAATGCAGGACTCGAGACACGTGGGGATGAACTAAAGGAGGCAGCTTTATGGCGCTGTGAAAAACTCAAATACTAAATACAAGAAACAAAGCATAACACCTAGAAACTAGGAAACCAAGAACCCAGGAAACTAGAAACAAAGAAACTAGAGATTAGGAGTTGACGAGAAACAACAATGGAAAACAGGAGCACTGTGAGGTAATGATGCGACAACGGGCAGAGGAAAACACAGGGCTTAAATACACAAGGGAGTAATGAGGGAATGAGACACAGGTGAAGAGCACAGCTGGTAATCACACATAACGAGAAGGAGGGGAAGCAAAAGTGAAAACAGTGAATATGGAGCCAGACTGTCAAAGTAAACCAGGAAACATGAGAAAAGCATAAAGACGCAGACGTGACATTGAGACATGGAGACATGACAGACTGGGGACACATGGAGACAAACGTGACGGGACATAAAATGTGCAACATGGAAAGGCATAGTAACAGAAAGCTAAAGACTAGAAGCTAACATACACGAAGAACAATAAGAACCAAACCCATGAATAACACTAAATCAAAGAATATAAATTGATAAAAAAACACAACACTGGGTCACAGACACAGTACTGTGACACTGAAAACTGAAGGCTCTGCCTCCCGTTCTACTTTTAAACACTCCTGGAACCACAAATAAGACCACAGTCTGAAGCGAAGTGCTCTGTTGGGGTGATATGTTATTATGAGATCAATGCGATGAGAAGAATTTTAAATTCAATTCTGGATTTATAAGTGAGCCAATGAAGATACGTCAGTATAGGAGAAATATGCTGTCAGTATTCTTTCTGTAACATTTTGGATCAACTGATGTCTATTAGACAGATATGATTCAAACCACCACGACACAGTACCTGTTATACCTACAGCGTGCTATAATTGCAGAAATAAAATATAGACAACAGTATCGAACGCTGCACTGAGGTCTAGCAGGACAAGCACAGAGATGAGTCCACTGTCAGAGGCCATAAGAAGATCATTTGTAACCTTCACTAAAGCTGTTTCTGTGCTGTGATGAGCTCTGAAACCTGACTGAAACTCTTCAAATAAGCCTCTGCAGATGATCTGTTAGCTGTTTGACAACTACTCTTTCAAGGATGTTTGATATGAAAGGAAGGTTGGAGATTGGCCTATAATTAGCTAAGACTGCTGGGTCTAGAGATGCTTTTTGAGTAAAGGTTTCAATGCTGCCAGTAACGGCAGGACTTCTTTGAGCAATCTGGCAGGATTGGGGTCTAAAAGACATGTTGATGGATTAGTGGAACTAATTAGTGAAGTTAACTCAGAAACATTTAAATTTTGTTTGTGAAGAAGAAAAGAGCAATTCAAATCTTCCTGGTAGAAGAGAGGGTTATTTCTCTGCGCCTTTGGGTTGGGGAACGGGTTATGATGGTCGTCTGTGCTTATCAGCGAATGATGGTTCAGAGTACCCGTCCTTCTTGGAGTCCCTCGGCAGGGTGCTGGAGGCTGCACATGAGGAGTCTGTTATCCCACTGTGAGAGTTCAAAGCTCATGTGGGCAATAACAGTGAGTCCTGGAGGGACATGACTGGGACAATCGGCCTGCCAGATCTGAACCTGAGCGGTGTTTTGTTACTTCTGCACAAACCACAGTTTGTCCATCACAAACACCATGTTTGAGCATGAGGGTTACATGTGGCCAGCGGTCCCCAACCCCCGGGCTTCGGACCGGTACCGGTCCGTGAGTCGTTTGGTACCGGGCCGCGAGAGTTGAGGTTCAGGTGTGAAATGTATAGTTTTCAAGGTTTTTTATCAGTTTTCAGCATTATTTTGTTATCGTTTTTATCGTTAACTCGATTTTCCTGGGTCTTTTCACGTGTGTTATGAATAAATCTTCTTTTTTTCGGTACCGGTACTAGTTTTATTTTGTTGTATTTATCCGCAACACCTTAAAGGCCGGTCCCTGAAAATATTGTCGGCCATAAACCGGTCCGTGGCGCAAAAAAGGTTGGGGACCGCTGCTCTAGGCCGCGGGTTAATGGTCAGTTTTGTAATTGTATCAACAGATCTGGGGCCATATGTTTTGGACACTCAGGTAAAGAGAGGGGCTGAGTTGTCAACTGATCGCCACCTGGTGGGGAGTTGGATCAGGTGGCAGAGGAAGATGCTGGACAGACCTGGTGTGCCTAAACATACAGTGAGGTGTGAGGAGTGAGTCAGTGCCTGTTGTGGTGATAACTACTGAGCCAAATGGTGGACACCAGAGGTGAAGAGAGCCACCAGACTGAAGAAGGAGTCCTGTTGGGCTTGGTTAGCCTGTGGGACTGTGGAGGCAGCTGATAGGTACTGACAGGCCAAGTGGAGCACTGCTTGGGCAGTATCTGAAGCAAAAACTCGTGTGTGGGAGGAGTTTGGAGAGGCCATGTAAAAGGCTGCCTCAAAGAGATTCTGACAAACTGTCAGGCAACTCAGGAGGGGGGACTCATTGTCACTTTGCAACAGTGAGTTGTTAAGAGCCTGTTTTGACAGAGTGCTTTATTTTTAACTAAGTGCGGAGTGCTGTGTGGAGCGCAGCTGAGTTCAACTGAGAACATTGTTGGGCAGTGCGAGGAACACTTCACGGACCGAGATCCCACTGGCACATCTTATGTGGAGGAAGTAGAGTCTGGGGACAAGAAGGACAAGTCGTCTGTCTCTGGGGGTGAGGTCACTGAGGCAGTTACACAACCCCTTGGTGGCAGAGCCCCTGGGGTGGATGAGGTTTGACCTAAATTCCTGAAGGCCCTGGATGTTGTACGGCTGTTTTAATTGACATGCCTCTACAATGTTGAGTGGAGATCAGCGGTGGAACCTCTGGGTGTGTGCCAACTACAGGGGGATCACACTCCTCAGCCTCCCTGGGAAAGTCTATGCCAGGATGCAGGAAAGGAGTGTCTGTCCGTTAATTGAACCTTGGATACAGGAAGAACAATGCTGTTTTCGTCCTTGTCGTGTAATACTGGAAGAGCTCTTTATCCTCTCAAGGACACTTGGGGGTGCAAGGAAGTTTGCCCAACCAGTCTACATGTGTTTTGTGGAGTTTCAAAATGCATTCAACCATGCCCCTCGGAGTGTCCTGTAGGAGGAGCTTTGACAGTATGGGGTGTCTGTCCCATTGTTATGGGCCATTCAATCCTTATACAACCATTGCAAGAGCTTAGTCCACATAGCCGGCAATAAATCGGAGCCATTTCCAGTGGGTGATGAACTCTTCCAGGGCTGCCCTTTGTCACCGATTCTGTTCATAACTTTTATGGACAGAATTTCTAGGTGTAGCCAAGAAAGGCTTCCACTTGGGTGGTTTCAGAATCTCATCTCTGCTTTTTGCAGACGATATGATTCTGTTGGCTTCATCAGGCGATGGCCATTCACAGCCGACTGTGAAGCAGTAGGAATGAGAATAAGCACCTCCAACTCTGAGGCCATGGTCCTCAGCTGGAAAAGGGTGGAGTGCCCACTTCAGGTCAGGGACAAGTTCCTGCTCCAAGTGGAGGAGTTTAAGGATCTTGGGGTCTTGTTCACAAGTAACAGGAGAACAGGAGATTGATAGACAGATTGGTGCTGTGGCTGCAGTGATGTCCGTCGTGTTGTAGAGAGAGCTGAGTGTAAAAGTGAATCTCTCATGTGACAGGGATGCCTCCTGGGCACCTCTCGTGTAAGGTGTTCAGGGCAAGTCTCACTGGGGGGAGGCCCCGGGGCAGACCCAGGACATGCCGGAGAGATTATATCTCTCGGCGGGCCTGGGAACACCTTGTACCATACCACTACATTAAAGGAATGCTTGGCTCAACAGAGCCCCGATTTTTGTGTCAGTCTGGCTACAAGAGAAACCGATCAATGGTACTTGAAATTGTACTTGCTCATAGGTGCTCCAATGATAATTGAGATTCTCTCTCCAATAGTGTAGGATCTTTCTCTTGCAATCAAAAGCACCTTGAGAAAACTTTTGCTGTCAAAAAGTGCAACATAAATAAAACCGAAGTGAACCTGTAGCTCCACCTTTAGGTTTAGACCAGGGGTGTCAAACTCATTTTACATTGCGAGTCACATTTAGCCCCTTTGATCTCTTTCTGTCAGTGCAAAAAAGATACATATTTAACAGTTTTTCTACATGGTGAAGGAAAATTTGCTATGACAAAGAACTCTTTGAACTTTAACTGTACAAAATAAATGTGTAAAATTACAGAAAAAGTTTTGGTAGCTCATTACGCGGAACTATACAGTTTTTTGTTTTTACTTTTATTTTTTTTGTAGTTGTAAAAAAAAGAGACATTTCAACAGAAACTTTTCTGTTTTTGCACAAAGTTACAGAGTTTTTATTAGAGACAGAGCTAAGTGTTTTTTAATTTGGCATAATTTGCAAAAGTTGAAATTTCTTTGGTGTTTAATAGCAGAAATGAGTCTTTCTTGTCAGATGTAATTTCTGGGGGACAAAAAGAGCGACTGACAACACTGCACACAGCAGTGGATTGGGGTGTATTAAGCAAGCAAATAATGCAGAAAATAAAGATTTTTGGCGGGAATTAAACTGAGAGATAGAGCTGTGCAGGAATTTATTGAGGGGAAAGGAAGAAAGCAAAAGTAAGAATGAATTCATTACAATGTTACTCAAAGATGAAGTGTAGTTTTGATCTTCTTTGCTGCTGGTTCAGTGAAACCTGCAGTTTCAGAATCAGTAAAATGTCAGCACCTGACTGCATGTCCATATGTGTTTTGCCGCGCTTTGTGTTTACATCTTCTTGTGGAATCTGTACCTGCTCTTTAATCATTTGCTGTTTTAGCTGTTTGGTGGTTGTTGACATGGTTTTGTGGGCTTTTAGCTGAGATTCTGATGCTTCTGTGGATATCACACTTCTATAATGGAATAACAGATCTGATGGTTCATCCTGTTAAACCACATGTTCTCGCTTTCGCCTCGCTATCGGTGGCATTGGGTTCCAACAAGTTAATTGTTTATTGCCTAATTACTGTCTGTAGTATGAATGGTCATGGGAGGTTTTTATCAGTAGGAAAAGCTGTAAAACTTGAAAATACAGTTAAAAGTCCAAAACCCATGCTTGTGCTTGTTTGTGATTAGCAGCAAATCAAACAGGTTAAGAATAAAAATTGCTTCAAGTGGTCTCTTCCTCACTTGCTTATTGGGACTGCTGTCGATCCTGCACTTCTCCACAACTGGTGCTGGTACATTAAATTCTGTTCAACAAGGTGCACGAGCACACAGGGGAAGTATGGGAGGAGGTTGGGTTGGACAATCCAGTGTTAGGAATACATATGGACTAATAGGCTGCTTTCAGTGTGCAGTGACTGGTCTGTAGTCTGTACAATTAAATCGAGAAAAGAATAAAAAATCATATTAACCCATCGGCTAACAAATGCGTCAGCATACTGGGCAAATACGCAGTATATAAGATTACCAGTCCAGTTCTGCCATGACACGAAGAATACTAGAATCCTACTGTCATCTTAAAAAATAGCAAAGATTCATTGTTTGTCCAAATGTACGGCAGGTAAGTAAAGTACTGAAGCCGCCCGGAGGAACATGTCGCTGATAGGACAGTAATTACTGTTAGGCAGCAGGAATGAGCTGTGATGACAATGAGAGAAGTGAAGGACTGCAAGAGAAACACAGGAAACGGGACAAATACAATCAGCAGGAACATTTTATGTTTGTTTGAGGTGTGTTCGTGAACGTTTTATTACATTGCACTTACCTTGGAGCCTCGTTCATTAAAAATAATCTCCACGTCTAAAATCTTTCCAAATTGCTGAAGAAGGGAAGAAGGTGGGCGGGGCATAAAGACAGAGAAAGAAAGACGGAGAAAATAATTAGACTATAACACAAGAAATACTTTATTTATGTTTAGGAAAACCCCCTACTGCTTTCTCCAGCTGGAAAATGAAGTATTTTAAAACCATCTTTAAAAAAAGACAAGTAGTCTGTACCAATAGTAGCATTAGGAAATTATCCATTCACTCTTAGTGCTGTTTAATGATGTGTTTGGTTGATCATAGTAATAAAGAGGTTTGAGTGAATATGTCTGCACTCGAGAAAAATGAGCACCGTGGGAAGGTAGTAGGCAGTTGAGTAGCAACACCCCATCATGGCTATTTGTTTTCTTAGTATGCATACCACCACTGCAACTGCCTGCCAGATCTCACCTAATCATGCATTTGGCTTCTACAGCTTCCCACATAGCAAAATGGATCTGGCCCACACAATGTGCTTACACATGGCCCAAATATCGCAAAGAATGATGGCCCTTTGGTGGCCCACATCTGGTGGCCAGTGGTGACCCACACATGGGCCAGCACAAGGCCAGGTGCAGACACACTGCTGGCCCTGTGCTGGCTCAGAACAGTTTCAGCTCTGGCCCCAGATGTCAGCCTAATGTGTACCTTAATCAAGCCATGTAATAACAACATGTGCCAGAACATAATAGTGCAAAAGCAACATGACAAATCTCTGTTCAGACAGTGAATGGACTGATTCTTATATAGCACTTTTCTACTCTCACAGATTACTCAAAGTGCTCTATACAACATGCCACATTCACCCAAACACACACTTTCTCTAAACTGAGTGCTTCACGACTACATTCATACACATTCATACTCTTGACATGCAGACTGGAGGAGCCAGGGATCGAACCACTAACCATCCAATCAGTCAGTGACCTGCTCTACCTCCTGAGCTACAGCTACCCAGTAGTAAACATGAGTAAACCCTCACTAGGTTTTGGATAAAGTGTACACTCACAAACCTGTTAAACCTGCATTTGAAACGTTGGCTACCATAGCAGTATAGTATTGCAACATGGCATTTGGGTCTTCTTACTAAAATAGGAAAATAGGAACATAAATAGTGCCATCATTGCCAGACCTGAATGGTCAAATGGTGGAGAGTCCCAGATATACAGTAAACCTAGTGGAAGTAACCCCCCACAGAGGGACAAAAGGACCCCCTGATGATCCTCTAATCGCCTGAGCCAAGGTGTGAAACTGGGCGTGGGT